GGAATTTGGAACATTATTGTGGTATTTTTAACCTAATTCTTTTTTGTTTTTTGAATTTTACTGGGCTGGGTGTTATTATTTTATTTGATAGTTTGGCATCGTAATGCCTCGCTGTTAAGGTGTAAACCTTTTAGTAATGTTTCTCTGAAATTGTTCCTCTAATTATTTTGGAGTTAACCACCCTAGATTTTCTTATCACTTATATATATATATATATTCAGCAATTGCTGCAGTTGATAATATAAAGAAATGATTAGAAATCTATATGTTAGTAAATTGGGATGTCTACTGTTTGTGATCAACTGGCCTCTACATTAGCACAATATAGGGGTGGAAAATTTTTGCCCTAGCTGTTTGTATAATGTTCTTGCACATCAGTATGAAAAGTGAGATTTGTGTGTGATGCAGGCAAGAGCTGATATTGTTTTCAAGCAACCAGAGGCAAACTCAACATTGAATCTTCATGTATGTTATGGTTCACTATCTTGTATTTTTGTAACTTGAAAATAAATTTAAGTTAAAATTAGAATAACATTGATTCGTTCAACTGCTGCAGGACGTCCAAGGACTTATCACCTGGGTGCTTGGCGAAGGTTTCATGCCGTCGTGGGTTTTTATAAAAGTAAAGAGCTTATTTCTTTCTCATTTATGTTTGATATTTATCTGGATTTTGCTTCACATATATCCAAATGGAAACACCTGTTTATTTACCAGTGTTGTTGGAGCATAAGAACTGGAAAAATCAGCAGCCTATTGCTTTTATGAATAATGCTCAAGACCACATAAAATTTTGTAGCGAACTTATTCAAATTTGCTTTTGAATTATTGTTCTTCTGATATGCAGAACAAGCCGTTGGTCTCAAAGATGGTTATGTTATATATCCCTGGCCTTGACGCTGCATTGTATTTGTCGCAGTCTAAAGTACTAAACAATTTTAAAGAATGCTGCGGTATTCCACGGGCAGTTTTAGCTCTAAGGTTGGTAATAATTAGTACACTTCCCGTATGAAAATGTGAACTCTATGATGTCTTTTAATTATTCTATAAATCATTGTTCCTTTTTTTGTTTTGTGCTAGCTGTGTATCAGATGGAATTCAGACCGTAGATGTACTTCTTACAAGCAGAGTTAAAAGAAAAAGGGAGGAAGGGGAACTTATTCAAAAGAAAATTTCCCAGGCATCTACTCAAGGTTTGTATAGTATTCAAAGACAACACTAATGTGGAAGTTTCGCCTGCATTTTAGAAAGATATTATTTGACAAACTTCCATTTAGGGTTGAAACTCATTCAGTTACCACTAAAGTGCCTAGTTCATATATGGACAAGTCAGATTCTTCTGATTTGAAATGTGCATATATTGCAATTTTGAAGAGTACGAACTAGCACAGAGAAAAGAAAATAAAAGAAGTAAACAAAAAGAGGAAGGAAAAAATTATTTGATTTCTTTATTCGTTACACGCTCTGCAAGGCTGTGATGGCTACTGCAATTTATTCCAGCAATAATCTTTGACTGATATTTTCTCTGGATAGGCAATGTTAATGATTCCCTTTAACAATTATTTCTCTTACAGAAACTTGTGCTGGGTCCAGCAGTTTGTCCTTTGCTGACCTCATAAAAAACTTGCCATTCCCAATAACGTATTACACTCTTAATGCCAAGGAATTAGAAGATAATGGATACAGTAATCGACCAGGTGTTGTGATACATCAAATGTTTTTCTTTGCTTCTTTCCATTTCATTTCTTTTTCCAGATGATGCTTTTGATTAGATAATTTCTCACATTCTCTGACATAATGCAGAATTTCTATCAACACTTCCAGCTCCTTCTGGAACTCCTCCGTATGAGATGTTGGCACTTGATTGTGAGATGGTACGTCTATAGATGTTAATCCTAACTTAGTGTGGGAGAATACTTGAAAGGCTGTTATAAAAAATAGTAGCAGTTTATCGTGCAGAAAAAGTAGTTGGAAGTCCTTTTTGACCTTACTCTTTGTTTCCCTGCCCATTATGACGAAAGTGTTAGTAGTTGTTTTTGAATGCATATTCCTTCTGTTTGGAAGAAGGTTTTTCTGATTATTTATTATATGTGATCAGTAATCGAATAGCCTCCTATCCGATTCACCGATATTTATTTTTCCATTTTTATGACTGTGAGAGAATTTTAGGCATGCCTACATAGTAATGAACTTGAATTCATCAAATGGCTTGTAAAAATTCTCCCATTTCATATGATAAGATGCATCACATCACTTCTCACTTAATGTTCACTATGTTCTGGTGTTCTTTACTTCCATTACCAACAGCTGTTCCTCTTGATTGAGAAAGTCAGATTAGTTCTGGGTTGTGATAACGGTGAAAATGTTATAGTGGATAATGTGGTCAAACAAAATGGATGTGTCAGATTCCGTCATTGGATGTTTCCAAGTTTATATCCCCTTCAAGGAACTCATCCCATCATTGCCTTCACAAATTTAAATGGTAATTGAGTTAGTAAGTTAATTAGAACAAGATTCACTCTTTCTGAGATCGTTGCTTTTTCTTATTTTCCTCAAAATTCTCACGGTTTACACCTTTATTCCAGATTTATTTTGACACCTAACTGATGCCACTTTTTTTNGGTTAAAAATATGTAATTTGTCAATTTTGATGAAATTGTTGGAATACTATGTATTTTCAGTTGTCCCCTCTATAGGGGTTCTCGATTTCATGGCAGATTGCATCTCCTGTACTCATAGACTCAAAAGTTCATATGCTCATATCCTTATAATAGTAAAAATCACAAAATTTAGTGAATTTTAAGTTCTCATTCATGTGTCGCAGTTGCATCAGAATTCAGTTGTTTGTGAATAGTATAGGATAGTTAAAACGTGTAGCAGTAGAGTAGTCAAGGGTGAAGACAAGTCTCATTGTCATACTCGTCCATATATGTAAATTTAAAGAGTGCATTGAATATAATGCATTCGTTTGATAGGGATTTCGATAAGATTTTTAGTAGATTTTGATGAAAGTTATTGAAATGTGTGAATTGAAAAGTTGTGGGTTTCTTGATATGATTAAAATTAATTGTTGACTTTGATTTAGATTAAAATTTCTTTCCGTAGGGAGGCAATAAAATGAATCTCGATTATGCCCTACTCTGGCGGGGGTGCTAAGATAGGACGAACTTTTTGATCTGACATCACCTAAATGGACTAGAATTTTTTGACAGCTTGCATGACAGATTAAATTGTGGCAAAGATGATTGGATTGCTGTGTTATGTCATCCAAGATATCAAAAAATTCTGGCAGCTAAGCATGATAGTCAACTTCTTTGCTTATGATATAATCTTTGTACCCTCTTTTTTTTGGGTTGTTATCATTGGTATCACGTCAACCCGGATTTGTGCTTTTGTTGATCATATTGGGGTTTTATGCACTGCTGTTGTTTACTGGTCGATTCAGTAATTTTCGTGAGCAGGATAATCATTGACTGACCATAGTAAGATTTTTTATTAATATTTAATTAAATAATATTAAAAAAATTCAGTTAATATATAAATGCACTAAAATATAACAATCATACACATGAAAATATAATCTATTACAACTCAAAATAATAATTAAAAAAAATACAATAACAAATACAAGATATAATTTTACTTTGTAATTATAAGGTCAGACAATTGCATTTCCTGATGTCTTATATTTTGAAAGAACTGTAAGATTGCCTCATGTTTAATTTTTTGTCAAATGTCTTTCGTTCCATGTACACCACTAGATTGTCATTCAATTAGGCATCTCTCATTTTCTTGGGCAATTCACTTTTGATTAAATTCATAGTAGAGAATACCTTTCAATGGTTGCAATTGCCATTGGTAATATCAAAGCCAATGTTGAAGGCCGATTTTTTTAGATTTTTTGAAAATCTATTTTATGAAAAATAAAATAAAATTGGAGATACGATTAAAAAGTAGGAAAAATTATAATTCTATGTAAAATTATTTTATTGAAAGAATGCATAACTGAAAATAAATTTTAAGAAATATGTACACTGGAAATTTAAAGAATAAATGAAGGGTGTGTGTGTCACCGATTATTTGTGAAAAATGTATTATAGAATAGTGATTAATGTTGAAATGTATGGTTAAAAAAGATGAAATTTTTTTTGATTTATGTGTAATATTGTTTCAATGAAGAATGTGGTTAAAAATGAGTACTATAAAAAAAATAACTGAAAAGAATGGAAGAAAATGGATGACAAATAGGGCGAAGTTTCTCTTGCTTTTCGCTAAATTACTCAAGTGCTACAAGAAATAAAATGGACACTGCCGAGGAAAAAAAATGGTGAAAACTACTTACTACTTTTTCTATAACTATAGAACATGAACTGCTCTTCAATCCTCCGTTACTTGGTCCATCCTACACTCTGAACCCTCGCTCTCCATCCTGAAACATACAACTATTCAAAGCAACATTCTTCAAGAAATGTTCAAAGTCCTTATTTTAGGTACGGCTCAATTGCCTCAGCTTCATTCTCAACAATGGATTCCTGGAAAACTGCTCGCCGACACTCGAGCGGCGAGTGGTTTGCCCAAAGTGTAAAATTTGGTGGGCTTTGGGTAAAATTCGGTGGAACCAGCACGGGGCGAGCCTCAATTCTTGCTGCAATTCTTATCTTTTCCAGGTAGAATAAGAGCAACTATTTGCCAGAAGGAAAGAATTTTTGCTGTAATTCTTATCTTTTCCAGATAGAATCTCGTCCAATAAATACTGTTTTCAGAAGTTTTGTTGTGTATATATGGAAATCTGGGATGCTGCAAACTGCGAAGGATTGCAGTTGAGGTGCCGTAGTGTCATTATTCAAGTTGATTTTGTTTGGATGGGTTATACAAACCGTCTGCAAAAACGTATAACAGCGGAAACATAGATTAACAGCCCTTTCTGATCATCTAGAGGTTTACATAATTATATCGGAAAGTATATTCCAGAAATTCACAGCAGATTTAGGCAAGTCAGCATAGAAATATTAAAAGAAACCATTTCCATTACGCATTCTTTGAGGTTCAACAACTAAGATTTGCATAAACAACCAGAAATCTCCCTCGAATATAGACTGCAAACAAACAAGGCAAAAGCCAGTCGAAAAAGGAAACCTCAAGATTTCCAGGCAGTCGGCTCTCAGTGAGCTAGATGAGATAGCAAGTTTGCAGCGTTTTTTTTTTTTTAATGTTTTATAATTTCTGTTTTCTGTAATTGATGATTTTATTGACTATTTAAAATATTGCAATTTCATTTTTATTTTTCATGTTGAAAACAAGGTGATTTGTAGGAAATGTGGCATTTACCTAAAGAGTACGGATATGGATATGTAATTCGAATACGATATGATATGGGTACGCCGAATTTAAAAAAAAATTAGGATACGCAGACATGTTATAAAATTCAACAAAATTTCATTAATATACAAAAAATTAGAACGGAAGTATAATAACAAAAAATAAAATAAAATAAAATAATAAAGCATTTTATCTTAATTCTTAATTGTCCAAACTTCATTTCATCAACATGTATTGAAAGATTAAATAATAGTGTATTTTTAATAAAAAGGTCTAGTGGTTAACTAATTTAAAACTCTAATTGTGTATTTTCAATAAATATTATTAATATTCAATAAGTTATTAAAATAAATAAAAAATACATAACCAATATGTATCTGGTACGTATTGAAAATAATAATTAATTATAAAATAATTTAAAAGTATGTATCTAATATGTATCGAAAATTTAAAAATATAAAGTAAGAAAAAAATGTATCCGATAGGTATCAGAGGATATCGAAATATAGATACGTATCGGATACGGGTACGCAATGAGTTTTACAAGTATCCGTGCTTCTTAGGCTTGTACTATTAACATTAGACTTCTTTTGTATGTTTTCGTAATTTTTGAGCTTAATTTTTATTTTATGTTTGTTGAATTTTTCTTACCAGTGTATATGTTTGTTGAATTTTTCTTATCAGTGTATTACAAAAGAGGGTTTTGAGCTTACTAGAGTTACACTGGTGGATGTTAAAGGACAGGTAGACTTTATATTACTTACTGATTTCTGATTCATGATGAACTCGTTCCTGTTTGTGGACTATCTTACCCTTTTCTCTTCCTTCTTCATGATTAACTACTCTCTCTCACTCTCTCTCATTTAGTTCTTGTAAGTGTAGAGTACTTGAGATTAAGAAATATGTATATGCATTTGACAACATCATATGTGAAAGGGTGTCTTCTTTCCATTAAGATCACTTTGGATTGCCATAGCATATAGTAACACAATCGGGTCATCAGTTGTCACATCGAGTTTGCACCTTTTATAAATGTAATCAAAATTACCTAATATAGTTTTCTGATCTTGCTTTCCATTCACTTCATTCATGCTGTGAAAGTAGAGGAACAAACATTTGGGGTATATTTGAAACTTTGATGCTCAAATTTCTCTATATTGCTTGCATCCTTATGCCCTTGTACTTCCAACCAGCGTACTTGTTGTGGAGCACTATTACCATTAGTGGTTTTTGTATTTGGTTGCAATCTTGCAAAATAATTCTCATTAGGCATTTTGTTAAGTGTTAACATGAGTTCTTCTGTACACCATATTGATGTATAATGTGAGGTGTTATCTTCTGTACAACATAATTTTATGTGGGCATCCTATCTGCATACCTCCTGTTTCTGAATAATGCAATTATGGAAGTGCTTGTTCTTTGTGGCACTCTGGGTTTTGATTTTGAGTGCTTACATTTAGTTTAATTCTATCAACTTTTTGCAGGTAATATTAGACAAACTTGTCAAACCAGCAAATGCAATTGTTGATTACAATACAAGGTACTTCCTCTAGTGAATCTCTACCGAAAAGTGCATCTGGATATAATTTTTGGGTATCTGGTTTAGATTTTCTAAAAACTGCATTCCATGACTTGAACATAAACATGTTCACTATGTTCTCCTTTGGTTATGGTACAAGTTAGCCATTTATGGTTACCTGGGCAAAGATTGCCGAAATGAGCTTTAGAATGTTTATTCTGTCATTCTAAAAATCCTTGATTAAATATTTGCTACAAATTCGTACATGATTATGCTGCTTTTGTCTCTCAAAATTTTCTTGGTTCCAAACCAAGTAGCTGTAGACAACAATGGCATGGCACTCGAATTATGATAAGCAAGCCTCCTGGAGAAGTTTACAGAGAGAAATTTCTTTATTTGCTTTATCTTACTGGTGAAGGAACCAGAATTGTAGCTCTTATAAACAAGGTTCAAGCTACTAGCTTTTTAGCCTGGACAGTGATTAAACTCTGATACAGCCATTCAGAATCCTTCTTGCAATTTCATTTGATTCCCCACAAATCAGCTGGAAGGTCCAGTCAGATTAAAATAAATAAATAAGTAATTGCAACCATGTCGTGTTAATTCTGATCCACCTCTACCATTCTATGCTGTTCTACTGGGACCATCTTACTATTGTAAATGAGAGTTTCTTTAAGTTTATACAGGATGGCCTAGCTATCTAAGTTGCCATTTCTTTATTCGATCTCAATCAGTACGAGTTTCACTCGTTGTCTCTATCTTGATATCTTATTTTATTTTCTTTGTAATGTGGCTGGGCGTCCATCTTTAACATCTATGCAATTACATTCTTCTTATTCACATAATCACAGTTTCTGATGGGAGGGATTAAATACTGCCAAATCTATCCTGTGTTTTCATGTGACAATGGCTTCAAATTGTAATGCAATTAAGTGCTATACAATAACCTTAAGCTAAAGGACGTTTGAAGTTCACTAGTTTTATTTACCTTTATTTTTGATAGATAGAAATTAGTTTAAGGGCATTTAGAAACCGTAGATAACAATCAGGGAACTAACAAATTGACTTTTGTTTGGCAATTTCTCATCCTTTTAATTATGAGATAACCTGGCTTCCAGGTTATTGCAACAGAATTGAAATATCTATTGGATTGCTATATTCCTTTTGACAGCAAATTGTATTATTGTGTGAGATTTATGTAGTTCTGAGACGTTGCAGGTACAGTGGAATAACACATGAGATGTTGGATGGAGTGACCACAACTATTGAATCTATTCAGGTTTATTATGAGAGCCAGTCTTCTGCCTATTATTGTTATTATTATGTTGAGAATCTTATGCTTGATCAGTTTTGACTAAGCTTAAAAGTTACTTTTCTAGCAAGGAAGTTAGGACTTCCTTCCTAGAAAAGCAGGTTTTGTTAGTAAAAAATGGTAAATATTACTTCTAAGATTAGACAAATATGGTCAGGAGACATCTTATCATTTTCTTCAGGGTTGACTTTACATCTTGTATATTATTTATATATTTCTAACATTTGCTTCTATATTCAGGAAGAGTTTCTTCAACTGGTTTACAGAGAGACGATTCTTGTTGGACATTCACTAGAAAATGATTTGTTAGCATTGAAGATCCGTCATGATCTGGTGATTGATACGGCGGTTTTATATAGGCATCCACGTGGCCGATCTTACAAAACAGCTTTACGCGTACTAACGAGGAGATTTCTTTCTAGAGAGATACAAGATTCAGGAAATGGACACGATAGTGTTGAAGATGCAAGAGCTACAATGGAACTGGCATTGCTAAAAATCACACATGGTAAGTAATTCATCTTTTCTGTCCATGTTCATTGAAGCATCTGCACTTAAATCTTTGAGAAGATTGTGTTATAACTGGGAATAAATTTTTTCTAAAAATTATATTTTTCTTGTATTATCATGGATCGGGGTAGTTGGACAAGGCCTTACAGCAATAATCTATGTAATGTTTTGATTAAATATATTCTAGAGGTTGACATACATTGCCAGTGGTGATTTATCACATCCCCATTTGTTACGAAAGATAAATTGCAAGTGTGATCACCGAAGTAATTGCACTCTTATCCAACCGCATTTTTCTTGACATTAAGCTATCTGAATTTCCATTTTTTTGTGCAATTCATCCCCGTTCATGGTTTGTCCAAATTATAAAACGAATGGGACATTTTGAAGTATCAACAGGTAAATATAGAATTCAAATAAATGAAAAAATAATGATAATCGTGAGTAGATACTAATTGCTTCTAAAATGGAACACTGGGGAGCTTAACGCCAAGGAAAATGTTATGAATAAAAGTGCAAATGGGAGTATATGTTGGGTACGGCTCACAGTTTATCCTATTATAGAAAAACAAGCATATTAGTATTAAATATTAATACTCCAGCTGTGATTCACACCAAATTTGGGGTACTTTGCCCGTAATTTTTATGGTTATGATGTCGTTGGTTGGCTTTTGTATACCCTTTGGATCAGCCAAAATAATAAAAAGCAAGAATATTTGTATTAACAAATAAAAAAATTGCATGTCTTGAATGTTTAGAAGCAACATTCTGATCACCTTTTTCACTGACTGAATATCATGCTTTTTATGTATACGTGTAGATTCTTGAGTAAAATGCTTATTCATTTTGTCACGTTTTTGGAGTTAGGGCCTGATTTTGGCTTGCCTCCATCATTCACACGGAAGAAACTCTTATCAGTTTTGGGCGATTTTGGCAAAACCTCATCTTTAGTTGATAACATCTCCATTGTGAAGCGATATGCCTCTGAGACATCTCATGCAATTCCAGTATCCTCTGATGATGAAGCTCTTTCGAAAGCCACAAAAGAGGTATATTCACATTTGTAATTCTCACAAGATAAAGCTTTTAAGGTGTAGAAGAGTAGACTGCAGGTTAAAAAGACCGTTAGTCACCCGATCTATGCAATTGTATATTTTGGTTATTTTCTCAAATTAGTCATTGAACTTCAATTTTTGTTGTAGATCAGGCAATCCATATGCTAAATTAATGGAAATAATAATCAGAAAATATGACATGGCACAAAGAATTAGTTAGGGCACTGTTTTTATAATCTAGCTGGACAAAAATGTGTGTGTTTGGACTATTTGTGCCTCTAAATGCGCAACCAAAAAAGTAATAAAAGAAAAGAAAAAAAGCCTGAATAAATGAAAAATGAAAACTTGTAAACTCACTCGCCAACTTCCTTGCGTTTATCACCACTATAATTGTCACCACCACCATCTGAGCATTTCCGTTAGTTTAGC